GCAAGACAGGGGGAGCAAGCCAGTAAGCAGCACTCCTCCATGGCTTCTGCATCAGCTCCTGCCTCCAGGTTCCTGCCCTGTTTGAGTTCCTCTCTTGAGGAACTGTTATATGGAAGTAATGATTAAAACACACCCTTTCCTCCCCAACTTGCTTTTGGTCGTGGTGTTTCATCACAGCAATAGAAACGCTAATTAACACAAACCTTTTTTTCCCCTTTCCCTCGTCCAGGTTCAGGCAAGCTTCTGCATGCCTCAGAGTCAGCAGTGACATCCACCGCTTTCCTGGTCTTGTCCTCAGCCCCTCATCTGCTATTGTCCTGAAGCCTTTTGCCTCAGACTTCCTTCAGGCTCCTTTCACATCCCATTCTACTTCATCTTCATAGACAGTTTGATGTCTGTAGGGAAAGCCACCTGGAGCGGCCTTTTTAAACTCTACTTCATTGGGGGTGTTGAGGCCTCTCCCTCCCTTCCACCAACCCCCAACCTTTAGGAGAGAGAACAGGTTAGTGGAGAGGGGGCCCAGATCCCTTTACTTCTCCTGGCTGTTCAGGGTCAAGGGGTTCTTTTAGGGCTCTATACCCATCTCTGTCAACCGCAGACTCAGCTAGCAGGCTCCTCCACGCCGCTGTGCCCTGAAGCGTTTCTCTCCGTCTGTCTGCTCCAAACCGCCACACCATCTCTAGTCTCTGCAAACTGCTCCACGCCACACACCAACAACAAACTCCACAGAACACCTCACGGTCTCTTTCTTGGCCTCCTATTTATACTAAGTCCTAGACCTCGCCAGTCTCTGCATGGTACCTGCAAGGCCAGCTGGCAAAGGTCACACCCCGAATGGGACAATTAACAGGTGTGGACAGGGTACAGCTAAAATCCCTCACTTAAAAGCATACTTTCATAACATTCAAAGAACTCAGAACTTCCACTACAGACTCCCCTTTTGCTTAAAACAACTACCTCCTATTTTTTTTTTCTCTGCTTTTTACTGCCATTTTCTAATCTCCAACCCTTGTACAAGGCAATTACATGAAGGAGACCTTCATGTCTCCTCTGTATATTATGAAATGTGTGAATAGGATTGTTTTTAATGTTAATATCATTCTATCAATGTTTTTACTTTTATTTTTTGAGATAAGGTGTTTCTGTGTGGTCCAAGCTGGCCTGCTTTAGCTTCCAGAGCGCTGGGATTACAAATGCGTACCACCACACTTGGACCGGGACTGTTTTTAAGGTCTGTTTTCTGAACATAGTACACTCTGCCTCTTGCCTACACCCTATACCTGGAGAAATTTGCATATTAAAACTTATTAGCCAATGTGAGAGCATGAAGAACGGGGGGGGGGGGGATTTACAAGGTATCGTAGGCTTTCTGTTGCTGAGACAAAATACCAAGACTAAAAGCAGCTTGGGAAGGAGAGGATTTCTTTCCTCTCACAGCCTGTAGTCTGTCATTCTGTTAATGCTGATGCCATCTATAACCTTAAAAAAAAAAAAAACCTTTTTAAAAAGTACTTTTTTTATTCTGTGTGTTTATTCATGCTGTAGTGCCATGAAGGGCACAGCTTGCTAAAGCTGGTCTTCTCTTCCCACCACGTGGGTCTGAGGGATAGGACTCAGGCCAGCAGGCGTGGAGGAAAGTGTGTTTGCCACCACAGCCCCTGGGCAGCCCAGTTTATTACCACATGTGAAGCTCTGTCTTTAGTGTTTAATGTGAACTGTAATTATCGTAGTTCTTGCGTGGCTCTAGCCTCCTAGCATGTGGTAGCAGCCTAAGGAAATGGGGGGGGGGGCGGTATCATCCAAAAATTTTTATTTCATGAACCAGACTGGGATTGAAAATATCACTTTGTGTCATTTGTTTCCACTTTAGAGCTATATGAATATGTGTGCCGGGCAGTAAAATGAATGTGTTGCTGTAGTTTTAAGTCCGTGGAAATCAGTTATGGCTGATTCTAAGTGGCACTAAGATATTCTGTAGGTCATGTGATATTTCATGTCTTGTTCTCTGAAACAGTGAGCCAATACAAAAGAGCAAAACACAAAACCTCATCGGCTGCATAGGCATAATTTCTGTACGTGTTCAATGACAACAAAAGAGCCCGCCCTCTCAGACCAGGTGAGACCAAATGAGGAGTGAAAGGCCAGCTGGACATTGCTCAGGAACGCAGGCTCACTCAGGTTTAGAGCAGGCGTCTAGAAACTGGTCATCTGCTTCAAATTATCCGCCAATTATTTTAGTATCAGTTTTTTGTTTTTGTTTTTTTTTCCATGACAGCTGTAATTCGGGCTTATAATAATACTTATGCTGGTTACGTGAAACCGAAACAGGAGCCACCCTGCTGTTCAGGAGCCACATTGTCTCCACACCTTTCCAGAATAAGTTTGTTTCCCAAGCCTAAAGTATGTGGCAAACTGTGTTTTCCAACTCCAGCTGAACTTGTAACCCCAGGATGAATACCCACGCCTTCTGCCTTGATAAACTCCTGCACCTGTGAGACAGGATTGCCCTTTGGCCTACACAAATGTGTCTTTCCCGATACCTTGAAGGCTCCCCTTCCAGTTAATGTATCTTTGCACGTGTCTACCAAGCAGGCAGCCTAGAGCCCTGAGCCCCTCCCTCTTCTGTCCAAGAGCCAGTTATCTCCACAGCTGTTTTCTATCAACCATAACCCTTCCACATAAAAGGATCCCTAAAAGCCAGTGAGCGGCCGCTCTCTGAAACCCCAGCCTAGGCTGAGGTATCCGCCTGGCCAGTCCCTTGTGCATAAAGCTTGTTTAATCAGACGGTCATGGAAATAGTTTTTTTTTCCTCAGGTCTAAGAGTCTTCGTTGTCAAGCTGACTAGGTTTGGAATAACCTGGGAGACACGCTTCTAAGGTGTTTGTGAGGGTTTCTAGACAAGCTTGACTGAGGAAAGACTCACCTCTGAATGTAGGTGGTGCCGTCCGTTGATGGTCTGGGCATCAGACCAATGAAAAGTGAGTGGAGCACCGAAGGCCTGTTTCTTGACTATGGTAATATGCTCAACTGCCCCCGACTCTCCCTGCCAGTCCCAGTCGCCATGGCCCTTCTGGGTTTTGTTTTTTTGAGGTGGAGTCTGTGTTGTTCTGGATGTCTTCGAATTCTTTGCTGATGCTTTGTGGAGGTCCCATCCTGAGCTCCACCCATACCTCAAATCCTCTCAACGGGGCTGAATCCTTAGAGATACAAAGAGAGGCCTTGCCATTGGCCATCAGCCCTCAGAGGGTGCTTATGGGGTCAGGGGTGCTAGTGGGGGTACAGTCCACTGAATTCTTTTATTTTTACTGAAAGCTAAAAGTGAGATCGCTTTGGAGCAAAGGGCACTTTAGGTTTCTCTCAGTCATTTGCTTATGAACAGTTTTCTGTTCTTCTGATTTGGGATCTGCCTCAAGGACCTCAAAAATTCTTCCAGAATTCCAGCCGTGAGCTGCCCTTGCTCTGTAACTGCAAAGCCTACAAGAGATCCTGCTCCTTGAACCCAACAGCACTGCATAAAGCAAAGATGGATCAGGCAAGCCAGTAAACAGTTTCTGCCTGTTCTGAGCTTGGATGGATGTTAATGCTGTGAGGAAGATTGGAATATTCCCTATCCTCAGCATGGTAGAGAATGAGTGAGGGATTAGAGCGGAGGAGAGGAGGACTCGGGGAGGGAAAGGACAGACCTGTAGGGTTAGATCTTGAAGAGTGAGGGAGTCTCTGAAAAGGGAGGGTATTTTGGACAGAAAACGTGTGAAGACACTTGGGAATTCCAGGTGCTGTGTGGTGCAGAACAGATTTCTCCGGCTGTAAGAGGGTCTAAACCTAGGAAGCAACAGAAACGCTTGGAACTAGATATGTATTAAATTTTTGTTGGGATTAAAAAATATTTGCTGTGGCTCAAAGGATGGCTCAGCAGTTAGAAGCACTGGCCGCTCTTGCAGAGGACTCGGGTTCAATTCCCTGCACCCATATTGCATCTGTAACTCCAGTTCCAGGGGATCAGTCTGCCTCACTTTGCCTCCTCAGACACCAGGTAGACACATGGTACATATACATACATGCAAAACATTCGTACGTATAAATCTAAATTTTGGATTTTTAAAAGATGCTCCTCCTAGACTGTTAACTTAGTTTTCCAGTGAGAGAAACCAGGGCTCTTAGAGGGTGTCAGTTAAGGCAAGGGTCCCGGACAGATGAATAGGGTAAAACAACTGAATAAGGGATTTGGTGACTTGTGAGTTTTTGGCAAAGGACAAGAAGGAATGTGTAATAGGTGAAAGGGAGAAAGGAAGGTTATCCATCAGGAAAGTGAGGAACGTGAAGAGGAAGGGGGAGTTAGGAATACGGAGTTAGGAATACGCGGAGGACCAGGATAACGGGGGGTGGGGGTGGTGGTGACCGCTCTGCAGCGGTCAGCCGTATGCAGGTCACGTGGTCTCCCTCTACACGTGCACACCCTGTCCCATCAGCCCAGGAATTGAATCTGAACCCAATAGGTTCCACCTGATCGATGATTTAGGCACAAGGTTATCAAGTACTGTAATTTAAGCCCTGTCACCGTAATGGTAGACATAACCTCCCAAGCAAAAAACACACCTTGCAAAACGACCGCTAGAGCCGCCCAACTGTGTCACGAGCCGAGCGAGGTTCTAGTTTACGAATAGTGCAGGTTAGCGTGAACACTTACCCGCAAAGGGAAGCCCAGGTCGCCTGCTTACCACCAGGCTGAGAGCTGACCGCCCAGTAACTTTACTAGCCAGATGCGGATGTCGACCACTGGGAGGCAAAAACCAAAGGAAGGAGGGGAAACGGGAGACTTAGACATTATCCAAACAAGGAGTGCGGGAGCTCGCATGAGGGATTCAGGGAGAGCTAGGAGCATTGAACACTGCATGCATTCCTGTGCTAACTTCTTGAGCGGCCACAGCCACAACGTAAAACCTGGGGAAAAAGAACAGGGCGCTTAGCTGGTGGGCGACCATCGGCGGCCCCAGAGCGAGGCCGGTGAACAGCTCCTTCCGGGCGCTGTGGTGGCTCTGAAAAGAGCCTTTGGGGGGACGGCGGCGAGGCGGAGCGCTCAGGCCCGCTCCCCGCGGATGCGGCGGGCCAGCTGGATGTCCTTGGGCATGATGGTGACGCGCTTGGCGTGGATGGCGCACAGGTTGGTGTCCTCGAAGAGGCCCACCAGGTAGGCCTCGCTCGCCTCCTGCAGCGCCATGACGGCCGAGCTCTGGAAGCGCAGGTCGGTCTTGAAGTCCTGCGCGATCTCGCGCACCAGGCGCTGGAAGGGCAGCTTGCGGATCAGCAGCTCGGTGGACTTCTGGTAGCGCCGGATCTCGCGCAGCGCCACGGTGCCGGGGCGGTAGCGGTGCGGCTTCTTGACGCCGCCCGTGGCCGGCGCGCTCTTGCGGGCCGCCTTGGTGGCCAGCTGCTTGCGCGGGGCCTTGCCGCCGGTGGACTTGCGCGCCGTCTGCTTCGTGCGAGCCATGTCTCCGCGACTCCGGCCTGCGGGCGCCTAGTGGCCAAACTTATAGACTTATCTTCGTCTTGATTGGGCCAGAAAACAAGAGTTCCAGGGCTTGGATCTGATTGGGCAGGTCTCCATCCCTTTTGCCGAGCTGCTTTCCCCGTCCTCCTGTACTTGTGAGCCAGGGAGGGTTCTGAGCGCCCTTCCCCGCGGATGTGGTCTCCTGAAGGCGGCGTGTGGGACAGGAAACAAGCTTGCCCCTTCCACGTACTTGCTGCCACTCTTCTCCCGCGATTAGCGTTTCCTTAACGTCAGGCTCTGCGCCCAGCGGTTGGAATGGAACTAAAATGAAACTCACATCTTCCCCGCTGCCGAGCCCGACCAAAGCCGGTGCTCCCCGCCTCGGCCCTCCATAAAAGGCGCATATGTCAAGGAAGCCTAAGTCTGCAAGTGCTAATACCGCCTTTTCGGCGAAGAACAGTCACCACATAACCAAACCTGTCATCTAGGCCACAAGTTAAAAGAACTTGAAGGCAGTGAGTCTTTCATTTTTTTATTTTATTTATTATTTTTCAAGAAAGGGTTTCTCTGTGTAGCCTTGGCCAGCCGGGAACTAGCTCTGTAGACCAGGCTGGCCTTGAACTCAAACAGGCACTCGACTGCCTCTGCCTCCCGAGTGTTGGTATTGAAGGTGAGGGCCTCTACCTCCTGAACTAATAGCATGCCTAAAAAAAAAAAAAAAAAAAAAAAAAATTAAAGCACGACATACATTCCTTCTAAAAAGTCAACCCTAAAAGCAAAAACAGGCCCAAGATATTTGAAACTTGCCTTGATGGTACCAGGGTTTATTATCTTCTCGCTGAATTCCAAATCAGATGAAATTGATGAAGGGGATTCTAAAAAAAAAAAAAAAAAAAAAAAAAAAACTAAACTAAACACGTGTAGAAGTTTTAGTAATTTAATTAATTTCTTTAAGAATTCTCCAGGAGCAGAAGCGACCTCTAAAACCTGCACAAAAGTATCACTAACATGAACTAATGTTACCCTTCTTGTGGTCATTTTGTAACAATGTTTCAAGCACAGACAAGAATACTTTATTTCAAAGCAGTACCAGGGTCAGTGAGATGAATCGGATGGGAAAGGTCCGAAGCCCACAGACGTCTTCCTTCAGGCGATCAAACCATCCAGTGCTTCCCCGACTTCTCAGCCGAACTTTCCCATCAGAAGAGGGAAGCTGCCGGGAGGAAGCTAGATGGTGCCCGCCCAACTGTCAGGTCTCCCTGTAAGATCTCCTTTATAATGTGTGTATGGGTGTGCTTATGTAAATCAGAAAGAGATACTAAAACGACAATCCCCTTACCTGTGGTTTTGATTTCTGCCTTCAGCAATGTTTAGGTAATATTAGGTGAAAAATCCCGGGACAGAAAAGTTCTGTTTTCCCATGCATGTTCGTTCCTGACACAGGGATGAAATCTGGTGGCTTCTCACCCGGGACATCAATCACCCCCTTGTCCAGCACATCCTGCTGCACGTGAAATCGTCACTTTGTAGCAGCCTTCGTCTTCAGATCATTGTCAAAGCTCTGAGTGCTTGTGTCCAGGTAACCCTGACCTTGTCCACAGTGAAACAAACTTCACTGAAGAATGTGCTCACAGTTATACTTGTTCAGGGCTGTGTGTGCTGTGATGTACATTATCTGCTCGCTGTGGCCCTGGCTGGCCATCTTGAAGCCCATCCTTTGAGAGTGAGAGAGAGCCACTGTATTCAAATATGGAATCCAAGAGTTGTAGGGTTTATTTTACTTAACAGACGATAAGAAAGTTCCGAGTCTTCCTCTTGTGTAATTTTTCAAGGATGCCACTGTACATGGGAATTCTAAAGCAATGAATTAGAACTCAAGAAGAACTTTTAAGGTTATCAGTGCCCCTTCCAAAACGCCTGGATAGTCCCAGGCAAGCTTAGTTTGTATCCCTTCCACACATTGCCTTGAATAGTAACTCAGAATCACATTGGTTCTGTTGTGCTTCAGCCTCACAGTGGCAGAATGCTGTTCATGTGGAGTTCTGAAGCCAAACTGTCACCACAAGGGAGATTAGGGCACAGAAGAAACTCTGTTTCATTGCAGTTATGGGACAGAGGAACTAGTTCTCAGAAAAGTCCTGAAGTTTTTCATTGAAAATTACCAAAAAGGGGTAGGGTGCAGGGTGAAATGGTACAGAGGCAAGTAGTTCCAGGTGAGTTACAGGCCAGCCTGGTCTACACAGTGTGTTCCAAGACAATCAGAGCTACATGGTGAGACCCTGTCTCGAAACAAAAATCACGAGGGCCTAAAGCTTAGAGACTGAGAATGGAATTTTATTCACTGTGGGGTGGGTACAAGAAGCTTAACATTTTCCATACAGAGCAAACAGAAAATTTAAATAAATGGCCTATTGGTCAAGCAGTATTTTATGTGTGTGTTTATTTTTCATTCAAAGCTATGTATGAAGTTCTGTGTTTGGGCTCTAGTAAGCCCAGAGGTATATCGGAACACCAACTGAGACCAGGAAAGATTTTGGGCTGTGGGCTGCTCAGGCTACATACCTGATCTGCTTTTATTTTGACTGGTCTGACATCCAGGATCAAGTTAAGAAATCACAGGAATTTGGGGTTCTTTCCTTACTCCATTTTGAGATGGATCAGTGCCTCTGCCACTGGGTAGAAATCAGAATGTCTCCTTCCTACTGGTCATTCACAGTTACTGCTTATACATGACAATACAATATAACATAACATAACATAACATAACATAACATAACATAACATATTTCACTAGAATGTTCTAGACTCTAGAAGCTTATCACAATAGTTCAGAGCTTTATGAAGTGCTGTTTAATTCTCATGAGACCAACAGAAAAGTTAACAGAAAAGTTATATATTTCAAGGTTTTTTTTTTTTTTAAATTGCAGTAGTGTTTGTTTTTGCTTTAACTTTCATAGTTTCTTAGTTGGAACTGAATCCTACAAGAAAAGATAGGTCAAAACAATTTGTTTGCTTGTAAATATGTTTTTTTTCTAAGTATGTGTATTGAGCATAAACATGGGAATTCTCAAAAGATGAGTAATTCAGAGGGGGTGGCTAGAAGTTGGGGGTCCGTGTACCTGAAGTAGTAGGGGACAGGAAGAGGGGACACTTACGGAAAAAAATGGCTTTTTGGGAAAATAAGTAGTTCTTAGGAAACTAGATGGGGACAGGATAGTTCTGAGACAAGGTCTAGGACTGGTCTAAGGTCTCATCTCTGAAAAGAGAACTTTAGAGGTACTCCCCCAGGGGAGGGGGATGTTCAGCAAGCAGTAAAATGCTGACTTCTTTTTGCAGGTTTTACTTTCCGACCGAGAAGGGATTTCAGAATCTCGACCCTTTAGCTCAGAATGATTATCATGATCCCCTTCAAGTGAGAAGATGGTATACACGGGCTCTGATTCCGCCTCCGGCCCTAGTACCAAGGCCCTGTCAGCCTTGGCGTGGGATAGTTTTATTTCGCAAGTTAAGACTCAGATGCAGAAACGGCCCATCCGCAAGCGCTATCGCGCTTCTGCGGCCCTTCGGTGTACAAAGGAAGATAAACAGAACCACATCCCGCAAGGGACACGGTCAAGGATGTGGAGGAGGCAGCAAAACGCAGAGATGAAGCAGCACGATCCTCCGGGGCTGCTGCGGAACCAGGAAACAGCAAGCGGTTTCCCTGCCCCCGAGCTACTGAACTGGAGCAGCTCCGGGAACTCTAGGGTGCTCGTCTGGGCACGTAGGCCCGCAGGGGGATCTGCCCGGCGTGTGGCCGTGGGGACCCGCTGGCCGGGGTGACAGAGCTCGGCGGGGCCCGCAGACCAACTTTCCCGGGACCGTCTGCACCATCCTCGGAAACGCTGGCGAACTTTCCTTTCCGCGCGCGTTCCCCGGGGCTGGGGCGGGGGGTGGGGTCCTCCGTGCAGTGCGCGCCCCATTTCGACGGTCAAACCCCCCCTTTCTCCAGCCGGTCGCCCGCTTCGCCTGAGGGCCTCCCCGGAGCCCACAGGCGGGGAGAAACAGAGCCGAAGAGAGTTAAGTTTCATTTTGAGGGTCTGGATATTCCGAGGAACTGTGGCATCACAATTTAAGAAGATAAAGAATAAAATAATAAAATAATAATAAAATAATAATAAAATAAAATAAGATAAAATAAAATAAAATAAAATAAAATAAAATAAAATAAAATAAAAT